ATTTTGATAGTCGACGTAATCATGACTAGTCGACTAATCGTGGCAGCCCTAGTGTTCAGTGAGCTTTTGTTTTCTCTTGTTTCACAATATTGAAGCATTTTCTCCAGTTGAAACACCAACTGACCCCCAGTAAGAGGACAGTACTCGTCTAATGAGGCTGAAAATAAGATTATTTGACGAGTTGGGCAGAAATCATTAGGAGCACAGATGAAGACCACAAGAAAGAGCAAAGGATAGGCTCTTATGGCAAAGCTGACTCTCTCCAATAGTCCAAACAGTCAGTTTCTATACCTTCTCCCTCACAGAGAGAATTATGACCTAGTTTTCTGCTTGGCCTCCACCTAAGGATTTACATCCCTGATAAGCAGAAGGAGTCCCACTATCTGTGCCTCCCATTATAATGGCCTCACTGGGTTAACATTCCCCATGTATGTAAACTAGTGGCAGGAGTGCTCTTACTATAGTAAAGTGAGAAAGTGATATTACTATAACTAATGTGATATGATTAAATATGTGATCAATACATGAGAAAAGAAATCTGCCACCACAGTGTTTATTGCTCAAAAAACAGAAAACACAAGCAAAGCCTAATCTGCCCTTTATTTATTCATCATCTTTTGGACTGGCCCAACTATAGACACATTTTCAAAGTGTCTCCACCTCATCAAACAGTTCTTAATAGCAGGTAAATTCAAGTAATACAAGTAACGCGTTACTTCCCATCTCTGATCACTAGTATGAAGAACAATGACCCCTCATAAAACGTAAGCAAAAGTATACATTATTTATGATGTGTGCCACCTAGGTTTGTTTTATATGTGTTTTAAACTGAAAAGCCAGCGGACACAGTGTTTTATTTTGAAATCCAGCGTGTTCCAGTCTGAGACTTTCGGTTTCGTTTCTGCCGGCCTGAAACTGCTTGTCACATCTGAACGACGCATTTGTGATTTCTCTCTCTTTTTTCCTCAGCTCTCTATAACAGGAGGTAAAACTGAAATTATTAAAGAGATGCATATTGATAAGATTTTGATTCTGATTAGATTATGAATGCCATGTGATGTAGTTCATTGATAGTTAATTAATGAACAATAGTGTAATTATTGTTCGCTGATTTATTTATTTAAGTAACATGTATGAAAATATTCTAAAAGTACCTGCAACCAGTAAAAATGGGGTAAATGACTGATGAACAAGTAGGAAAACTATTTGGCACAGTTTATAAGCTGGGTGTGGTCTACCACGAAATACAAAGTTATGCTTCATATCATGCTGTGGTACTGTGCATCTTACTCTTATTCGAGGATATTTAGTATTTTAAAGAAACAAAATATGAAGGACATAACAAAGCGATCTGTAGTAAACTAAATCAGGCTTTCCTGTCACCAAGTTTTCAGCAAGAAATGCATAAGAAAGAATAACATGAATAATTCTAATCCAAATGACTTGGAAATTCTAATCATGCTGTAGTGTTGCTTTAAGTTTGTGTGGTTTAAAACAATGTAGTTTTGACCATTTGTGTCTGTTTTGGTTCAATGAGCTCCACAAATTCATTCACTGTCCTTTACTCAGTTCAGAAGTCCAAGTCCAAAATGAACCCCAGACTAACACAAAGCCAGCAGAGAACAATCTGCGCTCAGCTGGGGAGAGTCAAACTACAGCTGCTGTACAAGGCCAGCATCCACGGCTTCACCAGTGCAGCATTTCACCAAAGATGTAACAACCGCTCTCCCACTGTGTCTGTGGGCTACAACAACTCTGGTTTTGTGTTTGGAGGCTACACCAAACAACCTTTTAGTCAGTCTGGACAGTACGTGAATGATGATCAGGCTTTTCTTTTCACATTTAATGCTAAAAAGCTCATCAAATATCCAGTTAATAATTTTGCATGTGCAGTGAGAATGATAGCTAACTCTGGGCCTTATTTTGGAGAAGATTTGGTTCTTGTCAATGCAAGCCAAGCAGTAACGCACAGCAATCCAGGAAATTATTACAACTTCCCCGCTGCACAAATGCATGGCAATGATCTCAACCTGACTGAGTGTGAAGTCTACCAAGTGGAGGATAAGTTCAGCATGAATAAGCATGAATAATCACATTTTCATTTAGTTGTTGCAGACAAGCAGTGATACATTTTAGATGTGACAGTCTATAGATAAATATAATAAAATGACTCGCAAATCTTGACTACGTGAGCGTGAAGTTTATTGTGATTTATTGTACATCAATTTATATATGATTTACTAAAAAGCAAGCTAAGATTCAACCTGATGACATTAGATTTAGCACATTAACTGTGCTACAAAGTGCACCTAAAACACCTACAATCTGATATTTATCATTTATTTTTTCTCTTTAACAGGAACAACTGAACGTGAGAGACCATGGAGGACTGTAATGTGGGAATCTGGGTCGGTTTGATAGAACCACCATTCTGGCATATCTGCAAAATTCACAGTCAATATGACTTCTAATGTTCTTTATTTCCTTGTTTTGTACAGGAAGAGGACGGAGCTGATTGAGTACATTAAAAGCTACAAACCCACAGTCAGCTCTGTGACCCAGCCTCGGGTTTTGCTCATTGGACCAGTCGGAGCTGGAAAGTCCAGCTTCTTTAACTCTGTCAACTCTGTATTCAGAGGCCACGTCACCAGCCAGGCCATCTCTGGCTCCTCCTCCACCAGCCTCACCACACAGGTCTGTGTCTGCCGTCTGATGATTTCCACTTATTGTGACTGATTTCAGTGGTCTGTCACTCATTCTCATTGTACTGTAAACAGTTTCGCTCCTACTCTGTGAAAGCTGGACGTGAAGGGAAACCTCTGCCAATAATCTTGTGTGATACCATGGGACTGGAGGAGACCAAAGGGGCGGGGCTTGACATTGACGATCTGAGCAGCATCCTCAAAGGTCACCTGCCAGACCGTTATCAGGTGCTACAGTACATCACGGGACACTGAATGTATGAAACACAGATTTGTCAGCAGTCGACTCAAACTGTGTCTCTGTTTCTCCTCAACTGTGTCATTTAGTTCAACCCTTCAGCTCCTCTGCATCCTGAGGCCCACGGCTATCGCACATCTCCTGGACTCAAGGACAAGATCCACTGTGTGGCCTATGTTATTGATGCTTCCAAGGTCTCCATCATGCCCACAGGGTTGGAGGAGAAGCTGGATGCTATCCGCAGAAAGGTCAACTTAATCGGTCAGTAAAACTGACCGATTAAGTTGACCTTCAGTTTCCTCTTCAGTTTCATTGTATTCTTTTTTCTAAACAAGTTTATGTGGAATGTACAATCCATGCCATGTAAACAAAATCAAAAGAAAATGCAGTGATGTGTGAATCAAAGTTCGTGAAATTATATATTTTTTAAAAGGTATACCAAAAAATACAATAACATAACTGGAGGCAGATCAGTTTTGCATCCAGACTGTTTCATGTGATCAAAGTTTTCAACTTCAGCTCATTTGATCTTCAATGAGTCCAGATGTGTTCCTAAAATTCTTACAGTCCAATACATAAACATCTCTGGCAGTCTGGAAGTGATCTTCCTGCTCCTTTGTTTCCAGGTATTCCTCAGCTGGTCCTTCTCACTAAAGTAGATGAAGCCTGTCCACAGGTGAAAGAGGATGTGAGAAATGTATATAGGAGTGGCTACATCAAGGATGTGGTGAGTTTGTACTTTTTTCTTCTCTTTTTTAGTGAGTAAAAAATTAGATAAGGGTACTAATACTTTTTTCCTGTGTTCTGTCATACAGATGCAGGAGATCGGCTCTCGGCTCGGGGTGCCGTTGTCCTGTATCATTCCAGTGAAGAACTACAGCGAGGAGCTGGAGTTGGACATGAATTGTGACATCTTGTTGCTCAGCGCCGTCATCCAGATGTTTCGCTTTGTTGATAATTACTTTGATGAGCTCAGTGACCGAATGAGTAACATACAAACCAAAGACTAGGAAAAGACTGAGGAGCCGGCATAAGCAAGTGATGAAATATCCCTGAAAATACTTCATTTACCTGCAGGTGACCCTGCAGAGTGATGGTTACCAGTGTTGACAGAGGTTTGATATTGTGAATATTGTGAGATACCTTGGCGGGGATATCCAGAGTCTTACTTCAGAAATTTAGTGCACTGATTATTAAGTTTAATTTTATCTAGCAGTAGAAAAATTTGGCATTGAGGATACACCAAGACATTTTTATTTAATTTTATATATTTTATCATAAATGAATAGGTCTGGCAAACTAAAATATGTTCATCATAAGAGTTTTTTTATGTTGCACAAACATTTAAATTTTATTTATAAATGTATTCAGTAACTTAATGTATTTTGCTTATTTTTTCTTTATTAAATGTGGCTAAAACTGTGGCTACTCACCAACAGTGTGATGTTTTCCCATCAAGTCCTTTCATGAACTGTTTCCCTACATCAAGCTTTGCAGTATTTATCAGTTTCTTCTTTTTTCCCTGGAACTTGTTTTCAGATGTTTTCATGTCTAATCATGATGTTGACATTATTTACATTCACCTGTGTTTCAGCTTTGTCAGTGATGGTCCTTACTGAGCAGAGTGAATGCAGTGAAGCTTTTAGTAAAGTAAAAATGCAATCTGTGCTGAAAATGTTTATGTCAGTATAACTACTTCAAATGAGTCATCTAAGTCAGTGTTCTGTAGTAATAGCACAAATAAAATGCAAATGTAACAACACTACTGTTATGATTTATACATTTCTTTTTGTTAAAGTTGAACGTGTGTATACAGGAATGTGCAAAGTTTTGTGAAAAGCATCAGTACTCGCTGCATTGAATCATATCTGTTATTAATCTCTTTCTCTCTTCCACAGCACGTCTTTTATCCTGTCTTCCTTCTCTCTCCCCAACCGGTCTCAACAGATGGCCGCCCCTCCCTGAGCCTGGTTCTGCTGGGGGCTTCTTCCTGCTAGAAGGGAGTTTTTCCTTCCCACAATGCTTCCTCATAGGGGTCATATGATTGGTGGATTTTTCTCTGTATGTATTATTGTAGGGTCTACCTTAAAATATAAAGCGCCTTGAGGCGACTGTTGCTGTGATTTGTCACTGGCACTAGAATTGAATTGCCACTAAAGATAAAGATAAACCATTTTGAACAATCAAAGCTGTCAGATGATGCCTCAAAGTTTTAAAAAGAAAAATACGTAAGAATGTTGAGTCTCAGTGTGGAAAAGTTCTCCTTGCAGCAACAGATAAATCGCCAGTCCTTTACCTGTTGCAGAAAGGATCTTCGACTTCTTTTCTGAAGTTGTTTTTATCATGTGACCCAAGGGGAGGGCAGACCAGACAGAAAGCAGCAAAAAAAAAAAAAAAACAACTATTAAATTATATCTGAAAAATCCAGAGCTGTGAGGAGACTAATCATGCCTAACTAAACACTACATAACCATCTAATAAGAGCCCAATCCTAATATGTCCTCCCAATTCCTCACAAACACTATCAAGTGCCATTACCCCAATTAAAATTTCTTAGCATCCATTTCTTAGCTGCGAGACCCTTTGTTACAGGTACAAGTCATTCTTTAAGTTGGGGGAGACTATAGGTAGGAAGTGACACACTTTCAAAATAAATGCATGCAACCAAAAAAGTGCAACAAAACTACACAATAAAACACACATAAAATATTAAAATAATGCTATCACACAGATACTGAGGGTTCACAGTACTGCAGCTGATGTGTCTGCAGTGGGAAATTCTCAAGTTACGTGGTGTTATCATCCAAACAGACCAAATTTCTGTATTTTTTTTTTTTACGTGTGACCAACTTCTCATGAAACTACTGATACTGCCATCACCTTTAGCTATACCTTGTGTTTAGTACTATATAAAGGGTGAAGGCGCACACAAGTTTGGTGGGGGTTGGGGGGCTTACCTCTGTAGCAAGTAAGAACCAGTCTAGTCAAGTTCTGGCAGAAGTAAACTGCTTTCGTGTGGTGCCTGTAGTGGTACCCATGGTTTTGTTTGGTTGGTTGTTTATTACTGATAAAAAGATAAAGTATAGTTTATGTACTTAGATAGCAGTTGTCAGATTTGACTTTGGTAAATGGCCTCTATTTGTAGTATACTTACTTAATCCCTAAGGACCCCAAAGCACTTTACACTACATTCAGTCATTCACATACTGGAGATA